AGTTAAGTATTTAGCAATGTAACATATGTAAATGCAGACAGTAAAAAGGAGAAAGAAAAAAAGATTGAAGAATAAAGCAACTCACAAAAAAGTACAAATAGACAAACACCTATCTTAGAATTTTTTTGTTTTAGAATTAAGTAAGAAGAAGAAAATAATATCTTATTTTGTATATTAGCAGATACGCACACTAGGTATACAGTGAATATTTAAAGATAAAAAGATATTAGAAAAAGGAAGGAAGAAATCGATGAACAATGATGGAACAATAACGAGGAACTAAGATGCATATTCTAGTAAATGTCAAATATGTTAAGACATCTCTGGTTTTAAGTACGCTAAAATCGTTTTGTATCTCGGATATATTTTTGAACTGATTTAAAGATTGATACATTAGAATCATAAGGTAAAGTAGTGGAACCAGTAAAAAATGACATTGATGGAAGGATTACAAAATTGAGATATATTACTTATTAATTCCCAGGTCGTAGGTTAGTATATTAAGGGCATTCAAAAAGTAGTGATAAGAAATTTCTCCCCGCCCCAAAATTTCACACAAAGGAGGCCCGATGGGAAAAATTTTTCTTCTCAAAAAAAATTTGGCAGAAAGAGGGGCTCAGTTAGAAAGGTAACTTTGAAAAAAAATTTAAAAATTTTAAACCTTTTCCCCGATGGGAAAATGGGAAGGTATTTTTTTGGAAAATTTAAGTTTTAAAAGAAGTCGCTTAAATGATTTTAAATGTTTTTAGCAGTTTGTTTTTTGAGGTGGAAGGGGATTTTGAAACCCCTAAAAACCCAGAAGGTAAAATGTTTTATAGAAAAAATTCAGTATTTGAAACGGATAAAAGGGTTATTCGTCTGCTTTTCCTGAGAGGGAAAACTTTTGTTTCACGGGCCAATCGACGGGGGGAACGATCAAAAAGAAAATTTGTTTGGGGTTTGTAAGGTTTTTTTTCATTTTAAAAAATAGAATAAGTTTATGTTTGTGTCTCCTTTTTTCTAGGGATTCCCAGCCAATTTCAACGAGATTTAAGAAATAAGCGTCCTTATAAATTGCTAATTAGCGTGTTTTCGCCCCGCCATTTTAACTTGTTAATTCTCGACTTTTCTCTTGGCTGGCCGCGGAGCGAAAACACGCTGATTAGCTAGGGCGCGTGGCGAAGTTTTATTGATTTAACTTCGCCCCGCGCCCCCGCTAATAAGCATGCTTTTGCTCCACCACCGCCATTTTAACTTGTTAATTATCGGCGAAAATTTCAAACGCGAAGTTTTATTGATTAAACTTAATTCGTCCCCTCTAATTAGCGTTTTTTTAGCTCCGCGCCCCCGCCGTTTTATTTCTTAAATCTTGCTCCGCATCCCCTCCCCTCACAGGGCGAAGTTTAATAAGTTAAACGATGGGGATGCGGAACAATAGCACGTTAATAAGCGCACACGCTAATTATCGTGACCGCCATAGAGCGAGACTAAGAACGCTAATTAGCAAGCGCGCGGGCGAAGTTTTATTTATTAAACTTCACCCCGTGCTCCCTCTAATTAGCGACTTTTCGCTCCGAGCCCTCGCCATTTTAACTTGTTAATTCTCGCCTTTTCGCTTGGCGGATCGCGGGGCGACGACACGAATGGCACAAATCAGCCACCATATAAAGCTGCCATTTTATCTCAATAGTTTGGGCTATCGCAAAATCGACGGCCTCTGCCGATCTCCAAAAGACCGTCGAAAAACATCGACCTCAGGAGACTTTATAATAAAAATCGACGGTTTCGTGATTATACATGAACTTAATTGATATACAAAAAAGTAAAACGAAAAAAAATTATTTGTTAAATTTAGCCGGCCAATTATTATAAGCAAAATCACTAGCTATGACGATACTTTATCAGATACTTTCATAACAGAATATCTAGCTCCATGAGTTAATAAATGTCATTTTTTTGGTTGATGTAAATAGTGACAAATAGAATAACAAGAGCGATCAGTGATCACATGTGTCGCCTCATGATGGCCAATTTTATGTTGGGACAAGTTTTGTGACAGACAGACAGACAGACGGACAGACAGTGCCCAACAAGACTTGGTACTGCTCATTCCTGTAAAGTTTGGACAAAATTGCACCAGTAATTTATGAGGAGTAGTCCGAACAAGCTTTTGTGTATCTGGCAACACACAGAAAAAAAAAACACCTTTTTTATCAAAGGGCCATAACTCAGCCAAAAAATCATTCAACCAGAAAACCCATGCAATATATGCGCAAGGACTTGAGCTACAGATCAATCCTGTAAAGTTTCATTGAAATTGCATTAGTGGTATAAGAGTAGTAGTCCGGACAAACTTTAAAAATAAAAATTATTAAAGGGCCATAACTCTGACTAAAAGCATTGAACCGGAAAATGCTGACGATATACACAACAAGACTTGGTACTGATCATTCCTGTAAAGTTTCAATGAAATTGCGCCAGTAGTTTATGAGGAGTAGTCCGGACAAGTTTTGTGACGGACGGACGGACAGACAGACAGACGACGGAGAAGTGATCCCTATATGTCGCCATTACTCCGTAGAGGCGACACAAAAATGATGTTTTAATCAATACGTTTATAATACTGTGGATTATTAATTAGAATACCAAAAATACATGTATATGCTAGCTATTAATTGTTTAAATTTTAAAATATTTTATTTCTTAATCATAAAGTCACGAATGCATTTATTTCACTAAACTAAAAACATGCAGTTTTCATTTTTATTTGTTTGGGTCGTCAGACCAAACAAATAATGGTAGCGAAATTTCAGAGTCTAATGTTGTTAATTGCAAATGCCGAAAGTAGTCCACTTTTTTGAAGCGGTTACTTCCCTTTTGTATGTACACTAAAGCCGAAAAATTCAGGGGAGATCACTGCGTAAAGATGGTCAAAGACAGGCGCATCAAATTTCAAGCAAAGTAATTCCCGAATGGTCGAAGATTTCTAATATTGTTTTATTGTATTTTCTGATCGAAAATAACTAAATACAAAGCGGACATTCAATCTCCGACACAGAAGTTTACGACAAACCTAACAACAAGTAGTTCTCAAAACAGCTTAAAACTAGCGATTTAAAAGAAAGAAATATTTTATTTTGTTACAAGTATCCAACAAATTACAACGCATTTAAAGTTAAACAATAGCGTTGGCTTATAGAATTGTCAATAAATGCACAATCACAAATTACGCGGATGAATATGATTTTATCAATGAAAATACTATTTATTACCGAATACTACACAAACCGAGTAGTGGAATATATAGATTCTACATGTCGGACTGTTTGGGCGAGAGGATTTTCGCTAAAATATTTACTTCAATTTTAAACAACAGGTTTACCCTGAACAAAATACCTCGAAATTAATAAGGATTACAAACCCGAAATGCAATGGAAGTTCTAAATTTAGAATGACTTGATATTATTCAGAATTTGTATAACTTCTCCGTGGTACAGTGGTAACGCGCTCGCTTACTAAGTTAGAGGTCTCGAGTTCGAATCCCAGTCGAGGATACTCTTTTTTTTTTGTTAAATTCTTTTTTAAGTGTTTTTGTTAAGGAAGTAGCCATGATATGCAAGGATAAAGTGTGGCTGTCGTAAAAAATGAACATAAATGATTTTTTGATGCAACTCTAGTTATGCAGAATTCCGTATGTATCAAACTCTGGTGCCTTGCAAAATGAATTATAATACATAAAAATAAACCTATACAGGAAAATGCATACAGATATACAGTACGATTTAGATTGCAAAGATCAGAAAATACCACAGAACTTGTAGCCCTTTGATTCTTTATAAATATAAATGCTTATAGTAAGCTCCAGGATTATTTACATCTGTGTTAAACAACAGTTAAAGTCGTTACAAGCCCTAATTTAGAATAATATGGTTTTCTTCAGCCCGTTCACATATAAATTCACCGTGGCTGAAGGGTTTTCGGACTCGCTTAGGAAGCGAGAGGTCTGGAGTTCAAATCCCAGTAAAGGTAACTCATTTTTTTCAAATTGTTAAAGTCAAATAAACATTGGATTGAATATCAGTGTTGCAATTAGTCTTATAGCCAACTTACTACAATTAAAACGCTGGAAAGCATTGGTGGCACTATACATATATTCTCACAACCTGCACCTTTCTTACATTCTGAGACCCAAACAAATTCAGCGCCTTCTGTGCTTTGATTTTTATCTTAAATAGATAATCATTGATATCTCGATTAAGTCTATAAAAAATCTAGAACATACGATAGTACATCCCAGAAAAAATGTAGAGGGATTTAGCTTTTTAAATCCTATACACAGGCGCTAGTCACATAATCAAATATTTTAAATAATCGGTCTATATGTAAAATATTTGATTAGTGACAAGCGCCTGTGGACACGGCCTTGTCCATTTTCGCCCTTCTTTAATCTATAGTAAACCTGTCACATTTAAAGCTTCATTATGGACTTCTATTAAACTCAGCAGAATTCTGTATTTCATAACTTTAAACATCAACACTAGACAAGTTAGTCGAAGCCCGAAATGTCCTATGTTAGCCATCTAGATTTCACAATATTTCTTAATTTGTTAAGTCACTGTCAAATTATCAAAGTTTCAAATGTCATGTATGCTGGCGTGTAGTACTTCTCGAATCCTTCCACCAAGAAATGAGATCCTGCAGAATACACAAAAAACAACTTTTAAAGTCATCAGAAATGACACTAAATGTACACTGTTACAATAAATACACTTAAAATGTAACCAGTCACATTAAAAATGACTTGAAATAGGGCACTTCAAAATTTTAAAGAACTATTTCCTAGCCCTACAACGGGCTGGGTCTAATTCCGTACCGGGTTGAGACCCAAACTCCTCGCAGCGGTTACTTCCCTTTATAAGTACACTAAGCCGAAGAATTAAGGGGAGATCACTGTGTGGAGATTGGTTGAGACCCTGTGATCCTATACCTGATATTTTGAGTACGGTATAGGACAGGTTTTAGAATGCTTTTGATCATGGTCTTTTTAACGCTTTCATAATAAACACGATTTTTAGTTTCGTTTCATTTTTTAATTTTCTACGAATTATCTTCTGAAATGAGTGGAAGAGACAAAGAAAAAAGATCAGAAATACCCCACGAGCTTAGAGGGAAAGTTGCTGCTTTTGACAGTTCTTTAAATAACGTAGAAAATGAATTTGAACCTTTGTTAAAACTTTCACAAATCGAGCTAAATGCAAAGGTAGGTATACTGTAGATCTAATTAATTTTGAAGACAGTCTAAATTTTATTCTATCTTGCCATTTTTGATCGGAGACTGTCGCATGTTTCAGGAGTTAAACAGAGAATGAGAAACTAAAAACAATGGAATAGACATATAAAAGTCTAGTTGAAGTTGACCCTTGCAGGGGTTATTTTATTTTTTATTTACTTTTTATTGTTTGCAACATCATAGAACACAATTACACACAACATAAGGCAATCTACTGAATTAGACCCCTAGTAAAATTGAAAAATACATGAAAGAAAACGAATGAATCGTAATTTATACTCCTGGTTTAGACCTGTCTGAATAACAACCTAGTCTGGGGACAACATATGTATACATATTAAACATCTGCAACAAAGCCAACCATACCATCAGCTTCCTGCGAAGAAACCTTAACATTGCCTATGCTTCCACCAAAGAAACGGCTACAAAGCTCTTGTCCGCCCCACAGTGGACAGGGCCAAAAAACCCTTCTTTGTAGAGGCCGAATATAGGCTGCTTCCCAACCAAAATAGCCTCTTCTCTTCCCCAGTTTGGTCCTCAAAATTCCCCAGTCTTTTGAAACTTCCCATAGAATTTAGAACAAAATTAAATGATCATGTTGAATTAAGGTCTTTAACTGCCTTATTAGTATTTCCCAGAGCTTTTTGCTTTTCTATTTTAACCCTTTACTTCACAGATACGCGAATCTACTCAATTATCCATTCCCCCATAGATACGTGAATCACCGCACTCATCTTATCTCCATGTATACTCGAATCACCGCAACTGTCTTATCTCCATACATACGCGAATCACCGCAAGCAAGTTTAAATGCAATTTATAAATAAAGTATAAATGCGAGGAATCCCATGAAATCATTTATGTAAACTTTAATCAAAGTTCTACCAGTTGCCGATGTAAAATTTTGTGGTTTATATTGAAAATTTCTGGACAGGTAGAGTTTAAATCACCACGTGTTTACTGCAGATTTACTGGTAAATCTTACGACCTTGACCACGGAAAAGTACTGGGAGTTTTTCCCTAGCCGAGATAAATATAGCTTGGCATGCCCCAGTTACATGACAAATTCAATATTTTTAGCACATTTATATTTAGAAAGAAGAATTGATCATGTAATCACCAAAATGTGTAAATCAAGGGGTATTTTACATGTTAACAGTTGGACATGCTTTGTGCTATTTAATTTTAAAAAGTTTGTTGATAGAAAAGAAAAAAGGATTAAACATTAGTTTTGTGTAAATGTGTTGTCAGTTTTGGTGTTATGTAAGTGCAAATTAATTAGCCAATAAAATCACGGAGAATGGTATATCACGCTGTGCAATGGAATTTATGCAAATTAGCAAGGGGCCATTTAATTAGTTGACTCGTGGTACATTGTTTATTCAGTATCGCACAGCTGTCAAAACAAAGCAATCAAGGCTGATTGTCGGCATTATTTTAAGATGTTTTTTTTTTAGAAAAATACATAATATATATACATGGATTATTAAATAAATAGGCATTAAAAATATTACATTCATAATGAAAACAGAAATAAAATATAGTAATACTATTGTGTTTTTGCCTTTTTATCTTCAAAGCCCCTGACTTTATAGATCTTTAACCCTAAAACATTATATGCCAGCCCTTTTCTAAAATTACATTTAAAAAAACCTTTTACACCAAACATTTTTTTTTTAATAGAATTTAAAAGTGCAAAAAATAATTAAATTATCTGAAAAGTAGCTAAATCATTGTAAATTAGTAAACTGTTTGGTTTAAAGCCTCATATCTCTAGATATATTTTTTCACATTTTCATGAAAAATACACCATTAGAAAGATAATTCAATTTAGAAAATACTTTATATTGGTCACTAATTGATTACTACAAGATTTAATAAAGTAATACTGATTTAAATAACACTGCTGTAGATGTTTGTATTTTTCCCAATAACCTGTATGGAGATAGTGTACAGTACACTTATAAGAGTGTATTGGTTATCAGTCATCAGTAGTGATAAGGTAGTATGGACATGATAAGGGCAATTAAGTTAAATGTGTATGGGGTAAAGCGTTAAAGAACTTGTTAACAGTTAAAGTTAAAAGGTTTAAGTTAAATTTGAGACCCCTTTTCCCAAAGTATGCCAAAGGCATGCATATTTTTCCCAAGAAAAAGGCTGAGGCCCCTTCCCCAAAAATGGTGTTTTGGCCCTGGTGGAGTATGCAAGCACTATCTCGGATCCCCACAAGAAGGGAGACATACACCGTCTAGAAATTGTCTAACAACAAGATAAACTGTATCATGTCAAGAACAATTATCACAACAGGTCCAGTGTCACAAATATGCTTGCAGACCTGCAATGCAAGTCACTACAAGAACATCGCAAGGTCATGCTCTACAAAGTCATCAACAACAAGGTCACTCTAGACAACTCCAAACTTATTCCTTCCAACTCCACATCTACAAGAAATACACATTACCTATCCTACAAGATCCCCTTTTGCTGCAGCCAATATTGATTTGTCAACAAGCAACCATAACGACTGGAACAAACTCCATTAACCTGGCAGTAAACTTCAGTTAGTTGAAGGTGACCGGTAAACTGGCAGTGATTATTTTCCTGCAGTTTTACAGCCGAATAAAGGCTGTTTCCCCTAGCCCTAAATAGGTATATTTTCTCCTAAAAATGCTACTATTTTTCCCCTAAAATGCCATTTGCACATTTTCACTTAAGAGCCATGACTTAACAGCAGCTGACTTATATCAGCTTAAGACAGAACACTGTCCCTACAGATAGCCCATGCATGTATCATGGATGTTAAATTGAATTGAAATTGAATATTCTAAAACATGTGTGGGTAAACCATTCTCAGTTGTTAGAATTTGATTTTCCCCTTTTCTGATTTATCACGCTATATTTTCCCCTTCAGAAAGCCACAGGTTGTTTTGAAATTGAAAAAAAAATCACTGACTGGCAGAAGAAGGAGACCCTGGGGTCTATTCATGAATATATTTAGGCAAACACAAATATATATTACATAATGCACGGTTTAACAAATAAAAATGTCATTTCATAAAATTAATATTGATAAATTAAATTATAGACTGTGATATTTATCATATTAACATATAAGTTAAGACATATCTAAAAATTACAAAAAAATCACAGACGAGATTATAACTACAGCAAGCCAGAAACATAATGACTAAGATCACAAAAAAAATGCTTGTCTAAATGGTAGATAGATAGTCCAGGTTTAGACCCCCGTGTCTTTGACAGCAGGGTTTTTTCTTTCTTAATTGGGAAGAGTTCTTAGCTGCTTGATTTGGGAAGAATGTTACTAAAATTGCAGATTTGGGAAGATAAAAAGCTGATGTTAGTTCCTGTCAAAAATTATCAAGAGATGTGAAACAGGAACATTTTGTGTTTTTATTCTGTTTGAGCATGCATGTTTTTTTTAATGGCAAACATTGTATAATTATGTTCTCAGATTTTAATTTTTACTTTAACTTATTTTATAGATACTTTTTTCAGTTATCTAACTTGGAGAAAGCAAAGTTGGACCTTGTTGCTGCTTATTCAATCAACTCATTATTTTGGAGTAAGTGTACTTAATCTTTTAGTCAGTAAAATAAATTATCTGAATTTGAAATATGACAGCAATTCTGACATGCCTATATGCCACCAGTATTGTATTTTCATCATTTTATGACACATAAATATAAAAATAAGAGTTTAAAAAAATTTATTATTATGCCCCCATTTCGAAGAAAAGGGGGTATATTGCTTTGCACTTGTCGGTCCGTCGGTCCGTAGACCAAATGGTTTCCGAGTGATAACTAAAGAACCCTTAGGCCCAGGAATTTCAAACTTGGTATGGTGATTGGTCATGACCAGTAGATGACCCCTATTGATTTTGGGGTCAAGGGGTCAAAGGTCAAGGTCACATTGACCTTGTAAGCAAAAATGGTTTCCGATCAATAACTAAAGAACCTTAAGGCCTAGGAACTTCAAACTTGGTATGGTGATTGGGCATGATCAGTAGATGACCCCTATTGATTTTGGGGTCAAGGGGTCAAAGGTCAAGGTCACATTGACCTTGTGAGCAAAAACTGTTTCCGATCAATAACTAAAGAACCTTAAGGCCTAGGAACTTCAAACTTGGTATGGTGATTGGTCATGATCAGTAGATGACCCCTATTGATTTTGGGGTCAAGGGGTCAAAGGTCAAGGTCACATTGACCTCGTGAGCAAAAACGGTTTCCGATCAATAACTAAAGAACCTTAAAGCCTAGGAACTTCAAACTTGGTATGGTGATTGGTCATGATCAGTAGATGACCCCTATTGATTTTGGGGTCAAGAGGTCAAAGGTCAAGGTCACATTGACCTTGTAAGCAAAAACAGTTTCTGATCAATAACTAAAGAACCTTAAGGCCTAGGAACTTCAAACTTGGTATGCTGATTGGTCATGATCAGTAGATGACCCCTATTGATTTTGGGGTCAAGAGGTCTAAGGTCAAGGTCACATTGACCTCTTGGGTAAAAACGGTTTCTGATCAATAACAAAAGAACCCTTAGGCCTAGGAACTTCAAACTTGGTATGGTGATTGGTTATGACCAGCAGATGACCCCTATTGATTTTGGGGTTAAGGCGTCAAAGGTCAAGGTCACATTGACCTTGTAGGTAAAAACGGTTTCCGATCAATAACGAAAGAACCCTTAGGCCTAGGGACTTCAAACTTGATATGGTGATTGGTCATGATCAGTAGATGACCCCTATTGATTTTTGGGTCAAGGGGTTTAAGGTCAAGGCCACATTGACCTCTTGAGTAAAAACGGTTTCGGATCAATAACTAAAGAACCCTTAGGCCTAGGAACTTCAAACTTGGTATGGTGATTGGTCATGACCAGCAGATGACCCCTATTGATATTGGGGTTAAGGGGTCAAAGGGCAGGGTCACATTGACCTTGTAGGTAAAAATGCTTCCAATCAATAACTTAAGAACCCTTAGGCCTAGGAACTTCAAACTTGGTATGGTGATTGGTCATGACCAGCAGATGACCTGTTGATATTGGGGTCAAAGGTCAAGGTCACATTGACCTTGTAGGTAAAAACGGTTTCCGATCAATTAACTAAAAACGCTTAGGCCTAGGAACTTCAAACTTTGTATGATGATTGGTCGTGACCAGCAGATGACCCCTATTGAGTTTTGGTTCAAGGGGTAAAAGGTCAAGGTCACATTGGCCTTGTAAGTAAAAACGGTTTCTGATCAATAACTTAAGAACACTTAGGCCCTATGTATGGTGATTTGTCATGAACCAGCAGATTACCCCTATTGATTGTGGGATCAAGGGTTCAAAGGTCAAGGTCACATTGACATTGTAAGTAAAAACGGTTTCTGATCAATAACTAAAGAACGCTTCGGCCTACGAACTTCATACTTGGCATGATGATTGGTCATGACCAACAGATGACCCCTTTTGATTTTGGGGTCAAAGGTCAAGGTCACATTGACCTTGTATGTTAAAACAGTTTCCGATCAATAACTAAAGAACCCTTAGGCCTAGGAACTTCAAACTTGGTATGGTGATTGGTCATGACCAGCAGATGACCTATTGATTTTGGGGTCAAGGGGTCAAAGGTCAAGGTCACATTGACTTTGTAGGTAAAAACGGTTTCCGATCAATTAAATAAAAATGCTTAGGCCTAGGAACTTCAAACTTTGTATGATGATTGGTTCTGACCAGCAGATGACCCCTATTGAGTTTTGGATCAAGGGGTCAAAGGTTACGGTCATGACCACTAGATACTTGATAACCCTTATTAATTGTTTGATCACTGGGTCAGAAGTCATGCATAATAACCTTATCACATGACTAATTGGCTGCTGATAGGGGGCATACATGTTTTACAAACATATCTTGTTAAGACTTTAATTAGTATTTAATATCGAGATGTTTCTTCTTCTTTCAGTGTATTTGAATGTATGTGGTGTTAATCCAAAAGATCATGGAATAAAACAAGAACTAGTAAGTGATATTTTACTGTTTAGATAGGTGGGAGTAACATTATGATGTGCTGTTTTAGGCTTCCATTCAGTTAATTGCAATAATTTATTGTAGAGTCCGTATTACTTCTTTAAGTTGAACCATTTTGTCTTTTGTTGGGTTTAAGGTACACAAACATTGTTAAACTTTATTTGGTAACTTTCCAACTTCTTTGATGAAGGAAGACCCTTGTGTTGACAGTTCCCCTCAGAGCATTTATAGTTAGGGCTATTTTTGGCCGGGTTGCACTGGTGCAAATCCGGGTTATAGTATGGTGAATGTCGGGCGGCGGGCGGGCAGGCAGGGAAAATATTTTCGTAACAGTTTTCTCAGCAACTACTTATCACAGCGTCTTGATATTTGGCATACCGCATAGACACATGGTCCCATACCGTGGGATATAATTTCAGGTCTGTCGCTCATCCACTTCCTGTTTATCCACTTAGTTAAATTAGTAAGATTTTTCGACATTAATGGTCAATGGTAGGAAATTTTCGTAACAGTGTTCTCAGCAACTACTTATCACAGCCTCTTGATATTTTGCATACAGCATTGACACATGGTCCCATACAGTGGGATTCGATTTTAGGTGTGTAGCTAATCTACTTCCTGTTTACCCACTGAATTAAATTTTCGACATTAATTGGTCAATGGTAAATTCTTTTCGTAACATCACAGCCTCATGATATTTGGTGTACAAATGCAACC